CCGACGACGACTCCATTTCTTACTCTCCAGGTAAGTTTCTTAAAAATTTGCTAATAGTTTAGACTAAATTAAACAAAATTTTATCTTTTCTTCGATGAAGTGATGTTGGATCAGGAAGAACAGGAGGATGTCAATGAAGAAGGTAATAATAATACTTTTTATTACACTTTTAATTCTTTTATTTCATAGTCCTCTTATACAATTATTTTTTTTCTAGATACTCCACCAGCGATACATCTGTCACAATGAAAATTTCTTGTATATATTCATACTTGTATATATTCATACTTGTATATATTCATACTTGTATTTTATACGGCTGTTTGTCACACATTTATATGTATATATTTTAAATGGTCTATATGTATAATATGTATAATATGTAACATGTAAGCGTAATTTAGCGTAACGTACTGCATAATATGTAACATAGTATAATGTAACGTACTGAATCATTGTTTGGGATATTAATAAAAAGAATTCTTGTATACAGATATATTCATACTTATTGAAAGATGTCAGCGATCAGAAATAAAACGGTGGGGAACGGCGTTGTATTTCGGAAACGGGCCTGTAAACGGGTCTGTAAACGGATCTGTATTTCGAAAACGGGTCTGTAAACGGGTAGAAACGGATCTGTATTTCGGAGCTGTTAGAAAACATATATTGCACGATACTCTTTTCGCGCGTATCATTACGTCAATGATTATACATCGCAGAGACATGAGACCATCAAAATCCGATGGATGTAACGATTCCGAGAAGCAAAGACTCGTCAAGGAGCTGCATGCTCCAGCAAGAAGGAATTTTCCCTGGAGACATGTCATAGTTCGGAGATATGGATCTGTAAACGGGTCTGTAAACGGATCTGTATTTCGAAAACGGATCTGTAAACAGGTCTGTAAACGGATCTGTATTTCGAAAACGGATCTGTAAACAGGTCTGTAAACGGGTCTGTAAACGGATCTGTATTTCGAAAACGGGTTTGTAAACGGGTAGAAACGGATCTGTATTTCGGAGCTGTTAGAAAACATATATCGCACGATACTCTTTTCGCGCGTATCATTACGTCAATGATTATACATCGCAGAGACATGAAACCATCAAAATCCGATGGATGTAACGGTTCCGAGAAGCAAAGACTCGTCAAGGAGCTGCATGCTCCAGCGAGAAGGAATTTTCCCTGGAGACATGTCATAGTTCGGAGATACGATGATCTGTAGCAAGCGATATTGTATTTCGGAAACGGATCTGTAAACGGGTCTGTAAACGGATCTGTATTTCGAAAACGAGTCTGTAAACAGGTCTGTAAACGGGTAGAAACGGATCTGTATTTCGGAGCTGTTAGAAAACATATATCGCACGATACTCTTTTCGCGCATACCATTAGGTACGCCAACGATCACACCATCGAGACATGAGACCGTCAAAATCGAGTGGATGTAACGATTCCGAGAAGCAAAGACTCGTCAAGGAGCTGCATGCTCCAGCGAGAAGGAATTTTCCCTGGAGACATGTCATAGTTCGGAGATATGGATCTGTAAACGGGTCTGTAAACGGATCTGTAAACA